CGTCGGCCGTCCGCGCGTCGCGGCCGGGTTATTGCGTCGATTTTTCGCTCCGCTTCGGACCGTATACGGGTTCACGCGTTTCACCGCTAACCCGCCGTTACATATATGGTACGCTTAACGAACGGGTTTGAATTCTTCGGTTTAGAACCATGGACCGGGTCGATATTGACCATCAGTCCACTTGTATGTTCCATCTGGGGTTTGGGGCCCGTGTTTGGCTGGTTAAGTTAACCGAGTATGGTTGTGCTAACTAACTCTAACCCTGGGGTTCTCAGAATGCTCCTGAAGCGGTAATTTAACCCTCAAAGTACCTACCGGGAGGATTTTGGACCCCAACAAGCACAAACGGGGGCTATGGTACTGCTACATTGCTTATATGTTGCAAAAACAATGACATCTTACCCAATGTTGGTTAGCCCTAACATTTCCCACATTTTCAGTGCCCCAAAATCACCCATTTTGTCCCAAAATAACATGCAATACAGTATTCAACTGCCTTGAAAGCACCATAACCGGGCGTTCATAGCAAAGATATACCCATATGTGACCCCACTGAAGAGCTTTTGGGTCACCACGGACCCAATGGTTGAAATAGCCAAGTCTGAAGGGGCTAAAAAGCCTGGATATTCTCAAAATCCGGGTTTCTAACCACATAACCATTGCCGCCCGGACCCATTTTTCCAAATTTTCTCGCATAACCGCATCTGGGCATCTAAACAACCTTAGTGAAGCCCATATGCACCATAATATCATCAAAAGTGGTTCAGCTATCATATGGCACCTGAATATTTAAGCGTAACATACATGTTACGCCTTATTTTTGGCACTTTTTACCCCTTCAATATGGTTGCGGGTTTTGACCAACTTAGACACAAATTGAATATTGGGGTTATATCATTGTCTTATACACCTTTTTTACTTGCTTATGACCGATTTTGAGAATATGAGTCCAAAGGCGTATGCGATTTTTGCACAGATTTTAAGCGTAACATATATTTTACGGTTAGCCATCATTCTTAGTGTTAAGAATCGATGTACGATTCCAAGTATTGATGATCTGTTCGATGCTGTGAGTGGATCGCAGTATTTCACCTCTTTGGATCTGACGTCTGGTTATCATCAGATCCTAATCTCTGAGGAAAATCGTCCGAAGACAGCTTTTCGTACGCCGTTTGGACACTTTTCGGTTTCAAGGTGTTGATTGCCAAAGGTCTGACGAATGCTCTGGCGAGGTTTCAGACAGTGATGAACTCAATCTTCGCGCCTTATCTAAAAAGGTTTGTCGTTGTGTACTTGGACGACATTCTGATCTTTTCGAAGCCTGAGAAAGAACGTCAAGCTAGCGCATGTGCGGCTTGTTCTGAATGTCTTGCGTCGCGAACAGTTTTACTACGTTCACGACAAAAGCGAAATCCAAGTTTGCTCAGACTGAGATTCAGTATCTGCGGCATATTGTAAATGCACAGGGCATTCGTCATGTTCCCAGGAAAGTTAGTGCTGTTCAGTCTTGGCCTGTACCTAAGAACGTTCACGACGTACGATCGTTTCTGGGGCTCTGTAACTATTTTTGCAAGTTCATTGATCACTTCTCTTCGGGCCATAGCAGTGCCTCTGACGAACTTTACGAAAAAGTCTGTTGGCTGGGATTGGACTGGGCGGTGTCAAGATGCTTTCAAGTTTTGAGAAGCTTGAACGTATTCTGATAGAAGCTCCGTTGCTTAGGACTCCTGATGAGAAGAAGCTCTATAAGGTTATTACGGATGCTGCTAACTACGGTCTTGGTGCTGTGTTGCTGCAAGAGGGTCATCCTATTGCGTTTGAGTCCCGTAAGTTAAACCCGGCAGAGCTTAATTACACAGTTACAGAAAAGGAGATGCTGGCTGTTGTTCATGCTTTGCGAGTGTGGCGGTGCTATCTGGAAGGAGCTCAGTTTACGGTGTTCACAGACCACGTGTCGAACACATTCTCTCAGAAGCAACCTAGTTTGTCACGGCGACAAGCACGTTGGTCAGAATTCATTCAGCGCTTTGGGGTGTTTAAGTGGGAATACCTTAAAGGCCAACGTAATGTAGCTGATGCGTTAAGCAGGGGGAATGTGACTGCCAGTCAGCTACAGAGCGTTGACTCTGATAAGGCTCAGCCTTTCGGTGCAATATTCGCTGCTGCTGGTGTAGCCGCCGACACCAAACCGAGGAATGTTCCAGAACAGAAGTATGTCCGGCCAGACTCTTTCTGTTCGTGGTGGCCAAAGTGTTTATAGTCCGGCTTTTGACTTGAGTCCTTTCTTGCTCAAGCCCCTTATTGAAGGCAGTCGGGAGTTGTCTGAGAAAGTCCAGCGAGATGCAAATTGGGCGGACTCAAACTAATTGAGTACCACCTGGGAAGGTTTTGTGTTAAAAAGGAAATCCCAAAGAGTTGTCCTTGATGACGTTGATCTGCGTAGAAAGATTGTCTCTGAGTATCATGATACTTACTACGCGGGACACTATGGGATACTTAAAACCAAACAGGCAATTGGTCGATTGTTTTGGTGGCCTTCTTTGACAGAGGATGTTACCAAGTATATCTCCTGCTGTGTTTTGTGCCAAAGAGGGAAGGCCCGTCGCCACAGGCCGTTTGGTGCATTGCAGCCTCTTCCCGTTCCTGAAAAGGCTTGGCAGACTGTCACGTTTGACTTTATTGTCAAGTTGCCTAAGACGGCTCGTGGGAATTACACTAACGGTGACTATTTGTGTTTTTGTGGATAAGCTGACAAAGATGGTGCACTTTGTAGCTTGCCGCGAAGACTAATCTGCAAAGGATTTCG